TGACTGTCCCAGGATCACACAGCCCCAGGGGCAGAGCCAGGCTGGAAGCTGGCTGGTTCAGGGAGCCTGGGTACTCTCTGGAGGGACCCCCACGCCCCCTACCCCACCAGGAGCTACTGCTACTGAAATGGGAGAGCCAGGCGCACCTCAGTGCAGCTCTAGCCCCAGGCTGGAGGAGGAGAAGGGAGAGGGGCGCGGTATTTCCAGCCCGGGTGACTCACTCATTCCACTCGGCTATTTGCAGCCCGAAACTCATCAGCCTGGGGCTAGGGGGGCGGGGCCGGATCAGCTCTCCCCTCCCCAGACCCCCACCTGAGGTCAGGCTCACCTTGGCATCCGGGCCCCAGTGAGGCCCCTCCCTGGGCATAAGGCCGGGGTGGGGTGAAGCTGGGTTATGAGCAGCCTGGCTGGAAAGGGGACAATTCCCCTGGTGGCCACTGGGGCCGAATACTCAGCACCCCCAGGCCCCCGCAGCTTCCTCCCCAGACAGCGGTTTGAGGGCTACGCAGGGCACAGAACTGCCCTCGGGGGCTGGGCTGTCAGAGTCAGAGGGAGCCCTCCCACCAAGGTGACCCCACAGAAGAGGAGGACACGGAGGTGGGGCGCAGACCCGCTTTCATCTGCTCCACCCCACCAGACGCCAAGCCCTCTGTCTCCTAGTTGGGGGGGTACCCCCACCCTTTCTGGGCTAAATATAGGCCTGGGTGCAGGCTTGCGCCCCACCCCCAGCCTGTGAGGAATAATTATAGCAGCTCCATTCACTGAGTGCTTAGTGTGCCAAGCACAAGGCTCATCTCCACGACAATCCCACGAGGTAGGTACCAAGGACAAGGAGGCTCAGAGAGGCCAAGCAGCTGACCCAAGGTCACCAGCTTGGAAATATCTTGATGGGGATTTGAATCCTCTTCTGCGGCTCTAGAAGGCCCTCTCTTGGGTCAGCCCAGATCAGCCGCCGGACCACTACAGGGCGCAGGCCGCTCTCCTGCCTGACCCAGGCATCCTGTACAGGGAAGGGGAACCCCTTCATCTCATAGCTTTTGGAAGGCACCTGGGCAGCAGACAAGGGGAGTTAAAAGATGCAGCCTACGAGGCTAGAGACCTGTGAAAAGGTCTAGGTTGCGGGGTGTCAGAGACCCCGAGGAGTGTGGAGGACCTAAGAGGTTCCCTCACTCCCAGGCCACAGGCCTCCTCCTCCAGAAAGTCCTCCAGAGCTACCAGCTCAGAGTCACAAGTTCAGAGAACCCTAGGCCCAAACCTTCTCTTCAAAGGAGATGCAAAATGCAGATGGAGCCACAGCCTGAGGCCCCACCTCCTTGACTGGCCAGCCCCTTGCCCTCAGGGAGTCACTCCAAACTCCTCATGGTATAGGGGGGAACCCTGGGCCCAGAGAGGGGTAGGGCCTTGCCCAGGGTCACACTGAAGCCAGTGGCAGAGATGGGATGGAGGCCTGGGCCTCCAGAGCCTCAGGCCAGGGCTTCTCTACCAGACCAACTTCACCATCCCCGTAGCCACCCTTCCCTGGCCTAGAGGCAACTCCCAGCTCCTCCATGGTACCTCCCAGGCCCACCCTTTCCCCATCTGCTCCTCAGTTCTGCAGTGGCTGCAGATGCCTTATATATTCCACTATCCTGGCATGGGAAAGGAACTAAGTAAATGTTTGTAGGACTTTTTAAAAAGCTAACAAGCCACAGTAAAGAGTGGAGGGTCGGTCACAGCCTACCTGGGTTCAAATCTTGTCTCTGAGCTATGTGATCTTGAGCAAATAACTTAACTTCTCTGTGCATCAGTTGCCCCATCTACCGATGGTGGTGCTATTAGGATCTACCACCTGCTAGGGTTGTTGCGTAATGCACATAAAGGGTTTGACACACGCCAAGGTAGCTGACAGTAGCATACATATGCCATGCATTGAAAATGTCCAGGAGGGCTCAGCTCCATTCACTGAGTGCTTACATTATAGCAGCTCCATTCACTGAGCGCTTAGTGTGTGCCAAGCACAAGGCTCATTTCCACGACAATCCCGCGAGGTAGGTACCAAGGACAAGGAGGCTCAGAGAGGCCACTGCATTTAGACTTGGATTGTGACATCCCCAGCTACACCCACACTGTCCCTGGCTCTGTCAAGACTGTCACTTGGGCTGCAAGGGCAAAGGAGCTGCTCCAGTACCTGGGTCTTCTCTCCAGGAACAGCCAGTAAGAGCAAAATAAAGTTTCCCTGCCCTCTTAGGACATCCTGTCTAGGGCCTGGGTGTGAAGGTCAGGGAGAGAAGCCCATGGAAGCCTTCATTTTCTCATCCATAAACAAAAATCAGGTACTGCCCTCCCAGGGCTGCTATGAGGAACCAAAGAGATGGTGTTTTAGTATAAACTCAATAAATACTAAGCTCTTGTTAAAATTGTAGTTGTTTCTGAAGAAGGAAAACCAGGGTTGCACCCACCTGGCTCTGACCGCAAATAGGAGAGGGTCCTGTGGGGCATGGCGCCTTCCGTCTGCAGGACCGGTATCTGGGGCAGGAGCCTCTGGCGACTGAGGGGGCTGTGGGCGTGGAGCATTGTTTACAGTCAGCACAGCTGGGCCGCCCCATTCCTGACCTGGGGCTCACTGTGAGCAGCCGGCCAGGCCAGTCCTAAGCTCAGAGGCGAAGCCCTCCAGAGCCTAGACTGGGACAAGCTCCCATGGAGGTCCGGAGGCTACTAGACTGGGTGGGAGCCCTCTGGGGTGCCTCCCCGAGGGGAGCAAAGCCAGGCCACTGGCCCCAGGAACCCAGAGAGGAGAGGGCAGGATTGCAAATCTGCCTCTTTCTCCCTTCTTCCCTTCCTTGCTTCCCACGCAGTTCTTGAGCACCTGCTGGTACTAGGCACTTCAGGCATGGGGCGCAATCCTGAGTGAGCGTGGCTGCCAACCTAGAGACACATTCCCTTTTCACACTTCCACTCAACTAGTTCAATAAAATCTTTCATCAATTGATTCATTCACTCCCTCTCAGATTTTCAGTAAGTCCCTACAGCCTATAGTACATAAAGCTCTGAGGAGAAACCACCTGTTTCAACCCTGGCTTCGCCATCACCAGCTGTATGATGGGCCAGTTGCTCAGTTTCTTCATCTGTAAAATGGGGTAATACCCCTTGGGACTGTGGTGAAAAGTAACTAAGCTGCCCTCCTCCACCTGTGTGCCCCATGTCTGTGAGGGCCTTCCTCACGTGACAGTCCCCAAATGCTCTCTGCACACGGCCAAGCCCTCGGCTGGGTCATTCACCCATTTGGCAGATGCGACCAGAGCACCTGAGGCGTGCGTGACCCAGGCTCATGACACTGTGACTACAGGTGTGCAGTCACACTGCCAGGGTTTGGATTTGGGCTCTGCCTCTTTCTAGTTGATGACCTTGGACATATTATTTCATCTCTCTGTGCCTCAGTTTCCTCACCTGTAAAATGGCAATAAAAATCATATCCATCTCACAGGTCTGGTGTGCGAGGAACTGAGGTGGCGTGTGTGCATATAAAAATATACGCAATCATTATTCCAGTGAACAGGGCTGGTTAGAATGTAAGTGTGGCTTCTGAAAACAAGGAGACCACTGGGTCGTTGGCCCCCCTGGCTCTAGCGCCAGGCCCAGCGGGTTCCTATCCTCCCCACCCAGCCTGGGCACTGTGCACTCCAGTCTAGTGACAGGGCGACCCCTGCTGGTGCAAAGCTAGATCTGCAGCCACAGGCCTCGCCCTTTCCTCAAGGGCCTAAAACTGCTGTTGCAGCCCTGTCTTTGCAGTCTTCTGGTCCAGTGATTCTCAATGATGTGAGGCCGTCCGGATTATTGTGTAACCACCTTTTTCAGCCCAAACCATCCCCTGCCCTTGCCTGGATCAAGGTGCAGCCTCCGAAGCTTCCTCCCCTGCCTTCTGATCCCAGTACAAGAGCTAGAGGAATTTTTTTAAAGGTGAGTCTGGTCATGTCACTCTGCTTACAGTCCCCAGTGGTCCCCATCTCAAAATAAAACCTGAAGACCTCATCACGGCCTGCAAGGCCTCATGTGATGGGGTCCCTGCCGCTCCTCCTGCCTGCTTGTTTCCTGTGTGTGCACACTCACCTTGCCTCTCCTAATTGGAGGATAACCTTCCTTGTGGTGGGGCCTTGTCTGTCTATCAGTGCTCCAGCCCAGCGTCTGGCCCAGGGCTGGGCACACAGTGGGTGCTCAATACTTAGTGAATGTGTTCTGCACCTTTCTGTGCCTCAGTTCCCTCATGTGTGAAATAGGTAAAAAATGGTGCTTCCCCATATTGGCACTGAGAAGATATTGTTTCCCTGGCACAGAGCAAATAGTCAATGCATGGTAGCCGTTAGTGTTTATAGAAACCTAATAAAATAGTCATTGAGTAAATAAAGGAACATTCAGTAATTTTAATCCAAGTGCCATGAGATGTCTTCTTGGATGAGTTGATGTAGCAGTTCACACAGAGCTGTGCATCTCTTAGACCTACACACACACAGTGACCCCAACTTCCTGCTGGAACTTGACTGCCCTGTGAACAGGGACCAAGCTTCTCCTTTTTGTCTGTATCCCTAGGGGGCAGCATGGACCTGGTATGCAGCAGCTGCTCAGTAATATCTCTTATTTTCATTTGTTCAAACATGAACATGCCCCTCCCTTTCTGAGCACCCTCTCTTGAGCAGCCAGGTCCCCCTCATTTCCCCCCTTGCATTGCTGGGTCCCACCTGGGCCCTTGAATTTCACCATCTGGTGTCATGCTCTCCCAATGACCTACACACATGAGCCAAAATGCTCACATGCCACCATGCTGGGGCGTTCAGACCCTGTGCTGGGGTGCCCTAGGAGGAGATGCCAGCCAGGTGGCCCTGGGGAGGGCGGATTTTCCGTGCTGGCTCCTTACCTTTTAGATCACACTTTGTTACCTTTCCCAATCACCACATCAGAAAAGCTCTTTGCCCCACCCACTTTCCATCCCAGGACCCTATTTCAGTTCCCACACAGTACTCATTTCATCCTGTTTAAAGTCATCTTTATTTATTTGGTCACTTATTTAACCCCTTTCCCCACCTCACCCCTGCCCCGAAAATATAAGCTCTGAACGTTGTGGAATCTTCCCTAGTACTTTGCAGAGCCTGGCTCGTAGAAGGTGCTCTGTTAGAATTTGCTGTATGAATGAATTCATCTCCTTCCATGCGGTGGTGACTGATCCTGCTTCCGACGAAAAGATAACATGGATTGTGAGGAGGAAGGAGGATACCTGGGTGTACTGCAGGCCTGTTTCAGACGCCCTTTAGTGGGTCTGATGTGCCTTCCTTGGCTCAGGCACAAAGACTTCTGCTTGGCTGGAAAAGAGGGAGTGGGCTCTGGGAATTACAGCCCCGGGCACTGGAGTCTGGCTTGCCAAAGGCGTACCCCCGTGACCAGGCTCTTCCAGTTACTTACTCGGCCTGCCCACACACACAAGAGGAGAGGGCTTTGAGGGAGCCTATGACTCTTCCCCATGCTGAAGATCTCAAGGGCACCATCTTTGAGGGGCCCCCCTTGGCTTCAGGAGCCTCCTGGGGGTAAAGTGGACTGATTGGGGAGGAAGCCTGGGCCACCATCTGTCTGCAGGACAGCAGGCTGCCCCTGGGCTGGGCAAGGCGTCCCCTACCCAGTGGGGCTTCCTGAATCAGATGCGGCTGGTTTTCCCCACAGAATAAGATGTAGGTCTTCACTGGAGGGGTGACAGGTCCTAGGTTGGGTCTGGGGGTTCGGGGCCGCACTGGGGGTGCTGCCAGGGAGAGCTGTTTCCCGTGCGCACAGTCGATGAGGAAAGTGAGGTGGGCAGCGGGGATGGCTTTCTGGTGGCGGGCTGGTTCCCCTCCTAGAAATAAGGAAAGGCCAAGCCTTTGTGTTAGCACAGCAGGAGATGTGGTTTCAGTAGTCCAGCGGCTCATTATCTGTGAGCTGGTTAACACACAAAGACAGGCATCTCGTTAACAGGAAGATTCTGGAACAGTGGGTCTGGGGTGGTGCCTGAGGCTCTGCATTTCTAACAAGCTCCCAAAGGATGCCTGCGTTCCTGCTCTGCACACCAGAGTCGGGAGGTCCTGGAGCAAGAGGAAGGCCCTGGCCACCTTTTACGGAGGAGGGACCTGAGGCTCAGCGACTGCAGATATTGGTGGTCCTCAGGGAGCACCACGTGGCTCTGCCCCACCCCACACATCTTGTCTACAGCCTCATCGCACCCCATCAGAGCCCTGGGGGACCCCTGTTCTTACTCTCAGACCCTCCCCACCTAGCTCAGGGCCCAGCACGGGAACAAGAAGCCATGAACCAATCAATGAATCAACTTATAAATGAAGCAAGTGCCCAAGCAGGTCCATCTGAATCCAAAAGCTGTGCTCTTAAAAAATCAAAAAATCAACTTTTTGAGTTCCCCAAACAATAAATAAATGCATTCTCTTTGCCACGTGCTCTTCAGCACAACACGGACTCTGAAAGAAGCTTATATTCTGGTAGTTTGGTCAGCACAGGAAATAAATGAAGCCCACGCACGGCTGGAGACTCCTGGCAACCCCCAGGGAGAGTGTCTGCCCTCAGCTGCAGCCTCCCAGCCTCCCTTCTGCAGGGCCGAGGCAGGCTCAGCAACCCCTTACCTGAGCCGCTCTCCAGGTCTGTCTCGGGGCCCAGGACTTTGGGGCTGGCTCTCAGACCCCTGGGGTCTTCGGAGGGGGTCACCGCTGCTGCCATGGAGCTTGGCCTAGCTCTGGCAGGAGCTGTTTCTCAGCAGCCTCTTCCAGGAAGTAGCTCCCCACCCAAGGACAGGACCTTTTATTTTTACCAGATCCGGATCCGCTGAGTGAATTCCACTGGGAGCCCAAGGAACTGGCCTGGGGCAGTTGAGGGGATTGCTTTGATCCACAGGGTTATGTCAACAGGATTGCTGTCCTTTAGCTGGGAGGCAGGCTTTCCACTAAACAGACTGTATTTCTTCTAATTCCAGCTTCTTGCCAACTTGGGACAGACCCTAGAACCTTCTCATCCAGGCCTCAGTTTCCCCCACTTCAGTCAGTATCTGGCTGAGGCACCGCTTTGCCGTTCTTTTCCAACCTAAGAACTATATGGAATACTGCTTACTCAACATGTCCCTTATCTTAGTTTGCCGGGGCTGCCAGAGTGTGCGGCTTAGCACTTACTTTCCGTGGTTCTGGAGGCCAGGAAGTCCACAATCAAGAGGCCTGTAAGATTCGGTGTTTGGTAAGGACCTGCTTACTGGTTCGTAGGTGGCTGTCTTTTCGCTGTGTTCTCAAGTAGCAGGAAGGGCAAGGGAGCTTTCTGGGGTCTCTTTTATAAGGGCACTGATCCCATCACCAGGGCTCCGCGTTTATGACCCAACACCACCGCCTTGGGGATTAGGTTTCAAAGATGAATCTTAGGAGGACACATGCAGCCTACAGCATTCTTTAAGTCAACTAACTGTTTTCTAATGTATTTTAAAAAGAAAATTGGTATTGCTTCATTAAATGGAGGTACAGTTGACACTTGAACAGCACAAAGGTTAGGGGCACCAACACCCCCAGTCAGAAATCCAGGTATAACGTTTGACTCCCCCAAAACTCAACCATTAATAGCCTGCTGTTGACTGGAAGCCTTACCAATAATAATAAACAATCAGTTAGTATGTATTTTGTATGTTATATGTATTATATATTGTATTCTCACAATTAACTAAGCTAGAGTTTAAAAGAAAATGTTTTTTTCTCAAATTGTTGCAAACCTCCACAACATTTATTGAAAAAATCCAGTGTAAGCGGACTCGTGTAGTTTCAAACCTGTAGCTAGGTATGGTAGAAGAATAATGGTCCCCCAAAGATGTCCATGCCATAATCCCCAGAAGCTGTGAATGTGACATGACAAAAAGGACTTCCAGGTGACATGAAGGGTGTTGGATCCTGACAACAATTCTAACGTGTTTTTTTTTTTGCATACCAGCAACAAATTAACTTAATTCTGACACTTTACCTGGAGATGACGTCAGGTCCCACAGGTGAAGGGCTCAGACCCATAAAATGCCAATGTCCCCACGGCAGATGCCATATGCAGGTCCAGGTTGTCATCTGTGCTTCTAACCTGTAGATTGGAGCTTCCCAAGAACCCTACTGCAGGTTTGGTCAGTTTGCTAGAGTGGCTCACGAACTCAGGAAAACATTTTACTTACCAGATTACCAGTGTATTATAAAAGGATACAACTCAAGAACAGAGCGGAGAGATGCACAGGTCAAGGTGTGGGCAAAGGGCGAGGAGCTTCCATGCTCTCTGAGCATCCACTCTCCCTGAATCTCATGTTCACCAGCCCCAGAGCTCTCGGAACCCTGTCATTTTGGGTTTTTAGGGAGAGTTTATTACATGGGCCTGACAGATTACATTACTGGCCACTGAAGATTAAACTCAGTCTCCAGTCATTCCCTCCCCAGAGGCCTGTGGGTGGGACTGAAAGTTCCAACTTTTTAACTACTCAGTTGATTCCCCTGGCAACCAGCCCCTACCCTTAGGTGACCTGGGGACTTTCCCGAAGTCATGTCATTAACATAACAAAAGACACTTTCCATTGCTCTCTCCACTAGGGAAATTCCAAGGGTCTTAGGACCTCTCTGCCAGAAACTGGAACAAAGACCAAATATGTATTTATTATAAATCACAATATTACAGGAATGGACTTTGAGATGGGGGAGATTATCCTGGATTATCCGAGTGAGCAAAATTTAATCACACTATTCCTTAAAATTGGAGAATGTTTCCTGGTTGGGTTCGAAAGAGATATGATGGAAAAAGGCCAGAGGCATGAAGTGAGAAAGAGTCAACCTGCCAGTTCTGGCTTTGAATTGGTGGAAGGGGGACACCAGCCAAGGGGTCAACGCAGCCTCCATAAACAGGAAAAGGCAGGGAAGAGATTATTCCCTAGAACTTCCATAAAGGAACCTTCCCACCAACATTTTAATTTTAATGCTGTGAGACCCATGTTGGACTTTTGACCAACTGGTAATAAAGTGTTGTTGTTTTAAGCCACTAGATTATGACAATTTGTTACAGCAGCAATAAAAAAGTGATACATTGTGCAAATAGCAAAGAAAGTAAAACAAAGTTATGTTCTAGCTAAATATCATTGCTTATGTCAAGTGACTTAAAAAATGAGTGGACACACGTGGAGAGCACGCACTCCCGAGATCATGGGATGAGGAGGGCACTTACCATCTGGGGTCTCCTTTCCCAAAACCCATCAACCTGGTCTAATCATGAGAAAAACATTGGAGAAATCCAAACTACAGGGCATTCTGCAAAACACCTGCCCAGAACTTCTCAACCTCTCAAGATCATGAAAAGTAAGAAAAGACCGAGAAATCCTTACAGGCCAGAAGAGGCTAAGGAGACATGACAATGACATATACTTTGGATTGGATTGGATCTTGGAACCACAAAAGGACATTAGTGGAAAAACCAGTGAAATTCAAACAAAGTCTGGAGTTAAGTTGAGAGTCATGTACCAGTGTGGCTTTCCTAGTTCCCACAAAGGCCCCATACTTACCTAAGAAGTGAACAATAGGGGAGACTGGGTATGGAGTATATAGAAATTTTCTGTATTATCTTTGCAATTTTTCAACTAATCTAAATTCATTCTGAAATACAAAGAATATTTTTTTAAAAAGAGTGGGGAGGACTCTCATCGGTCACCAGTGGGACTAACCAGGGCACTTTTTCCTTGCTTTGAAGCTTGACAATTAAAGGAAATAAATACCAAAGAGACAGACAAAAGCAAATGTTAGGATGTGGAGAAATTGAACCCCTCGTACTTTACTGGTGGGATTGTTAAATGGTGCAGTCATTTGGAAAATGGTTCAGCAGTTCCTCAAAATGTTAAAGACAGCAATTTCAGTCTCAGGTATATATCCAAGAGTAAAAAAATGTAAGTCCACGCAAAAATTTGTACACAGATGTTCAGAGCAGCATTATGCACATTAGCAAAAGTGAAAAAACTCAAATGTTCATTGGCTAACAAAGGGATAAGCCAAATGCAATACTGCCATATGATGGAATATTATTTGACAATAAAAAAGTGAGATAATGATGCAGGCTACAGCATAGATGAAGTCTGAAAGCTAAGTGAAAGAAGCCAGCCATTAAAGATCACATGTTGTGTGTTTCCATGCACACAAAATGTCCAGAATAGGCAAAGCCATCAAAACTAAACATAGATCAGTGGTTGCCAGGGCCTGGGATAGGGGAGGATTGGGAAGTAACTATTAATGGCTATGGGGCTTCTTTCGGGGATGATGAAAATCTTTGGAAATCAGATAGCGGTGCTGGCTGCACAACTGTGAATATTAAAAAATGAATTGTATACTTCAAAAGGACGAATTGTATGTGATTGTATCTCTATAAAGCTGTTAGTTTAAAAAAAGGAAGTAAGCTCTATCTTACTTTTCCTGAATAAACTATATTTCCTAGTAACCATGTGGCCCCAGCTGATGAAGAAAGGCTCTTATTTACAGAAGTCCAGCTAATAAATGGGGAAAGGATGATAGAATCAGAAACACATCCTTTTACAACCTCTAATGAAACCATTGACTCGGGCAGGGATCTTCAGAGGAAGAAAGGAATTACATGGAAGGTTGACGGGGGGCTTTCCAAAGGAGTCAGGGGGCTGCCATCCACGCCCACCACCGATCTTAGCACCACTAAAGGGGGCTGTGATGTAGCTCAATAGAAACACTCAGTAGCGCCTTTGACATGTTTTTACCAAAAAAGTTAGACCTGTATCTACTCAGGCCTCTCCAGCGAATTTACAGGAAATAGGGGGAGAAAGGATCTGGTCCAGTGGCAGCACAAGAAAGCAAACAAGTCCAGCATGTGCGGCATTCTACAGGATGACTGATCCCATTTCTGCAACAGTCCAACGAAACGGAGCGGACAAACAGAAAACAAGAAAGGATTACTTTGGAATAAAAGTACTCGTAAAGGCAAAACAAATAATGTATGATCATTTTTTCAGAGTTGCAGAATGAAATATATAAGGATGGAATGACATGATATCTGGGATTCGCTTTAATATAATTCAGCAATTAAAAAAACTAAGAAAGAAGGAAGGATATATTACGTATGTAGCAAACTTAACTATTGAATCTGGGTGATGGGCATATAGAAATTATTTTGTTATTTTTGTCTATTTTTGTTCATTTTGTAACAATGTATCTCTTGTCACCAGAGGATGAAACTTGGATAGAACTGATTATGTGGGTTGGTGATTTGTAATATAATTGCAATATAAGTTGTATTGAATCTGGGTGATGGGCATATAGAAATTATTTTGTTATTTTTGTCTATTTTTGTTCATTTTGTAACATTTTCAAAATGGAGAGGAATTAAAAAGTGTAGATCAAGGAGGTATGCTAAAGATGCCTGTGAAGAGTTAAGAAACCATTTCATGACAAGTGAGCAGAGAAAAAAAAGTACCATTTATAAATTAACATGCTGTTACATAATTTATGATTGTAAAACATGTGTGCAATCAAATTGATAAACTGAATTGTATGTAGAAAGAGACATTTGTCAGTTTATCTGCAGCCCTTCAAGTTTATAAGTTGGCCAACCACTTAAATAATTCTCCTTCTTGGGAGGAGACTTTGGAGAGGAGAGAGGTTGGGGCTGACGGAGCCAGTGAGTAGTTACTGGAACAATAGCTCCTAATGAGGCATCAGGTAAGTCACAGTCCTTCACTTACTCATTCAGTCAATCCATGTATACTTAGCTCCTGCCCTCAGCCATGAAGCCCAAATTTTTGGATTCCTTCCTCTGTATTATTCTAAGGAGTTTTTGGCATCTCGACTTCATCTAATGAAGATCACAGTTGGGTCCAGATTTCAGTCAACCAACCATGCTATTAGAATCATTCTCAGCTGTTTGAGCTGGAATAGTAAAACACCAAAATCTCTGTAATGTGCACTTATATTGAATTCAGCCAAGTCTAATATTATGTTCCTTCTTCTTCGACTTAGCACAGAGTTCAGTTATGCCTATATTCCATTTCAGCTCATTTATTACCTAAGACTTCCTTCCCCCATTCCATCCCTCCTTCCTGTCTCGCCTTCTTTCTTTCTTCCCTTTCTTCCTTCCTTCTTTCTTTTGTGTGTAAGGCACCTCCATGGTCAGACCAAGCGTTATTCTCTGGGGCACTTTGCAATCAGACTCTCCTTATAGATCTGGAGACAAATGAGGGTAATGGCGTACTGAGAGGAATCAGTATCTCCTTAAAAATAACTTCCTCATATGAGGTCATTAAATGCTCTCCAGGGAAAGCAGGGTCAGCCTCATGTGATGGGAGGAGGAACTATTTCTGTTGGCAAGAGAGTTTCATTGGGTTTTGGATTTGGGGAGTCAGGGAACTCAATCATCTGCAACCACCCAAATATCTCCATTTTGATTCCTAAATGCTCTTCATTCTCATTCAGTGCACCTGTCCAGACTGTGAATACAACTTATATTGCAATTATATTACAAATCACCAACCCACATAATCAGTTCTATCCAAGTTTCATCCTCTGGTGACAAGAGATACATTTTTTAGAACAGTCAACCATGGTCCGTGGTTCTCTGGCCTTGTCCTGAGCTGAGAATTTAAACTCTATTTCTTTTTTGAAAGTCTTCAGTGTAATATAATTATAAATAGCCAGTCCACCCTACAGTCCTTATAGTCTTCATTCCCACCATAATGGTCAATTGTAGCAACTACTCCATTACCAAAGACTTGTCTTCATTAGGCACTTCCCCTAAGCAACAGTACTTATTGTGGTAAGTGATAACTTATATAACCATTTTTCCCTACATGAAATAGACCAGATCTGCATCACCTTCAAATATAATGCCCTGATTTCTATCCTTGTGGGTGAATTTCCTGCAGAAATAGAAGCCTTGCTGGGCTTTCTCTTTATTAAACTTTTTTATTTTGAAATAACTGGTTTCACATACAATTGTAAAAAAATAATGCTGAGCAATTTCCCCATGTCCTTTACCCAGTTTTACCCAATGGTAACATCTTGCAAAATGATAGTACTGTATCACAATGGAGATATTTATATTGATATGGTCAAGGCACAGAACATTTCCATCAGCACAAGGATCTCTCATGTTTTCTCTAGACTTCTTTTAAGGGATTTAATATAGAGAATAAGATGTTTATAACATTGTTGGAGAGGCTGAAACAATGGTCTCTAGACTGATCTTCTGGTAATGGCTCCCAGCACACCACAGAGCTCACCAATCAGGGCCTATTACTTCTGCTTCAATCAGGAAGATTGCATTCAAGAACATGACCACAGCAGGGATCCCAGGGATCTGAGACTAGAAGCCGGCTCCTAGGCACTAGAATGCTGAGCTTGGCTGCCACCAACTCACAGATGCTTCTGAACACTCATGAAGCTGGAGACTGGCCACACACACCATTGCAAATCCTTATATCTGCATGACCTTGCTTGCCAGCAGAAATCAGCTAACATCAGTAGGATAATGGCTACCGCCTCACTTCCACCTTCCAAATCTTACCAACTGGCAGAACCCATCTGTGTCTGGGAATCTATCTGCAACTGAGTCCAGAAAATTTTAATTTTTTAGAATCTGGAAGGAATGAATGCTGAGTCCCAACTGACTACCTCTAACACAGATGGACCCAAGTGGATTTGTATGGTTAGTACTGGGAACCCAAAAGGGTTCCCATCACATTTGCTATTATTTTTCCTGTAGAAGAAATGGTGAAGTCAACTGCTGCTGAGATTTTTCATTTCTCTAGTAACTATGAAGAGAAGAAGTAGTGAGTTGGCCAAACTGACATTTGTTGAAGTTTCTCCTAAGGCTACCAATCATGAGTTGGTAGGAAACAGTCTGTCCCACTGGGTACTTTCTCCTACTATGCTTGGCTATTTGGGTGCAAAGAGAAAAGGAGCAGTTGGATTCACCCAGGGTTGGAACACTCACCAAATCCCTGTGACAAGAAGTCAAGGGAGCAAAGGAATTCATAGAGTGTTGTTGAAACTATGGATCATGGAAAATAAACAGGATCAGAAGTGAAGAAAGAAGAAACCCAGGAACCGTGAGGAAGTAGAGAAGTCAGTGGCCGAGAGGTGCTGAAAAGTTGGAAAGAAGCCGCAGTGGGACTCTTCGGGGCTGCAGACGCTTTTGTTCCCAGGCATCCTCATTCACACCCAGGCTAATTCTGCATCTGCCCTAAATAGAGAAGGAGGTAATTGATGAATGAGAAAGTAGAAAAAACATCATCGGGAAACTGCAGCTTTGGAGCCCCAAGAAGGTTAACATTTCTGCTCCACCACTTGTAAGGTGCGTGACAACGGTCAAAGTTCGTTTACCCCTTCTGAGCCTTCGTTGTCCGTTCTTCAAAAGGGGGAGAACACAGTTGGTGAGATTTAATGAGATCATAAGCGTAAAGGGCTTCACACAGTGCATGGCACACAGTAAGCGCTGAACACGTAGAAGCTGTTACTGTTGTATTTGGAAGAGAAAGCCAAGGAAGGGTTACAATGTGCACGATTCTAAGTGCACAAGTACTGAAATATAAAACTTCGGGATAGTAAAGCGCATGCGCCTGTCCTCGGGCCGGCGGCTGGCGCCGGCGATGCGCATGCGCCGGAAGTTGCAGCCGGGAAGCCAGCGAGGTCGGTTCCGCCCGACTCTAACATGGCGGCGCCCTTTGTCTGCTGTAAAGTGCCGTCCCTGGCTTTCTCGCGGCCGTGATGCACCTCCCTCTGCGGTGGGGCCCAGGACATGGCAGGTGAGGGTCAGCTAGCACCCAACGCTAGGGGTGTCCAAGGAGCCGGGCGGAGGCGGCGGAGGATGGGGCGCAGCGGGGCGCCGGGAGCGGTTGTGTGGGGGAGGGGAGGGAAGTGAAATGGGGAGGAAACCTGGACTGAAGGGACTCCGCGGGGCAGGAGGGCTCGGGGCAGCTGGCTGGGGGCGCCGCCCAGCGAGCGGGCAGGGAAGGGGCGGGCCGACCGGCTCACCCTTCAGGGGGAGCGCGAGTCGCGGCCCTGGTTGGGTGACACCCCAGCTGGTGGCATCTTCGCCCCCGCTGCCCGGCTGTCACCGTCCCTTGACCCCGCGCGCCGCGGCGGGGGGGCGTTGTGTTGCCGCGAGGTGGCGGGTGCCGCGGCAGCGCACAGCGGCGCGCGGGGGCGGGAGGGCTCAGGCCTGCTTGACCCGGAGGTGCTGGCCGAACGGGAGCCGACATTGCCCCTGTGTACGATTAATTCATTCATTCATTTCGCCCCCAGACGGTGGTTCAGCACCTGATAGGCTCTAAGAACGGGACAGACTTGATCCTGGCGCAGTGGTTGAAAGTGTGGACTGTGGAGCCAGGCAGCCGCGGTTTGAGTCCCGACTCAGTGCTCGCCAGCTGTGTCCTCAAGCACGTTAGGTTCTGGCCTTTTCCTTTTGCCTTGGTCTCATCGTCCTTAGAGTAGAGATGATAAGAAAATCTCCCTCCTAAGGTTGTTAAAAAGATTAAATGAGATAATAGGAATAAAGTATTGTGAACCCTTAGTGATACAAAGTGAACGCTGCCTGTGTTTATCGCTTATCACATCAAGATCATCACCCAGAGCTCCGAGAAGCAGGAAAGTTCTCCTTGCTCTGGAAACACAGCGTAGAGGCACCTCACTCAGTGTAGGTGATTCCAGGGAGGTCTCTGCCTCCCAGGAAGCTGAGATCTAAAGGATGCTTAGGAGAGCCGAGGCAGGAAAGAGGGGAGTATTCTTAGTTAAAGGTGGAGTTTGTGAGAAAGCTTGAAAGCTCTTGTAATTTAATTAAGTTCTTTGCCTAGAGACAGAAATGAGAGGTGAGACTAAGGAAGCAGGCTGTGGTTAACCTAGTTAACGACTTTAAATTTTAGGTTAAGGGGAGCCCATTTAAGAATCAGATTTGTGGCTTTGAAAGATCACTTTTGCTGTGTGAAGAATGTATTAAAGGCAATGGGCCTGGAGGCCAGTTAGGAGGCTGCTAGCATAACGCAGATGAGAAATGAGGATGGCCCTGATTTAGGTTAGAAGCAGAGGGTGGGAGAGCTCTTTTGGAGGTAGAATTGACTTATGATTGCTTAGATGAGGGAGTTAGAGGCAGAGAAGAGTCAGGATTGACCAAGTTTTCGAGTGGTGGGTGGTGACGCTGCTCAATGCCATAGGGAACAGGATGGGGAGCAGCGTTGAGGAGGGAAGATAAGTTTGGTTTTGAATATGTCAGAGTCAGTGCCTGTAGAACATTCAAGTGGAGCTGCGCAGTGGTGATCTAACCGTTGTCATCAAGGGTCACTAGAGTTGGGGGCGAAGATGTGCTCACCTAGGGTGAGGGATGAAATGGGAAGTCAAGTGTCCGGGACAGCCCAGAGGGACACTAGTGCTGTGATAATACTCGGGACAGCCTTGTTGCTCTTGCTTGTCAACCTTGCGTTATGTCTTTCTGTGAGCAGGTGTTCCGCGTGTGGGGCCTGGGACTGGGTTCATCACTGTTGTGTCCCAGGTGTCCGGCACAGGGTGTGGCATGCAGCAGGCCAGTAATGTTCCCCTTGAATGTTTGCTGAGCACTTACTTTGTGCCACGCTCTGTGCTCAGTGCATTTGCCTGTGTTTGGTGGATGAAGAAAAGGGCAGCTCTTGGGGACAGTTGCCCTTTGGGTTCTCATCAGATTTTCCACTTGGGTGTCTTTGATTCAGGTAATGAGCCGGAGGAGGAGAGCCAAGCTGGAGTTTGCACAGACAAACTGTCAGAAAAGAATAGCCTTGGCTGCTTGGAAATCTGAGGTATGTCCACAGTACTCAAGGATGAAACAGCAGGTGATCAGTCCGTTTTCGTCTTTGTTCTCGAGGCTCAGTGTGTTTCAAATCACCCTTTCAGCATTGCCTTTTCTTTAAAATTACACAGTAATGACAAAATCCTAGTTAGTTCAGGAAATTATTGATATCATTATTATTGTTTTACCAACAAAGACCAGACTAGGTTAATCACTGGGCAGTGTGCACACTGTGTTTTAATTAAATACAATCTAAAATGCTCCAGCAAAGCAATCCCAGAATACAGTGGCTGAAACAAAATAGTTTATTCTTCACCCCTTACCAGTCTGGAAGCAGACAGTCCAGAACCAGGAGGGCATCTTGCTCTGATCCGTGAAGTGTCTGGGAACACGGGGCTCTCCTTGCTCAAACCCAGGCTTCCATGTCATAGTCCAATCTGGCTGCTCTAGCTCCTGCCATCATGTATGCATTCCATGTGGCAAAAGGGAAAGACAGTGCAGGGAGCACGTGTTCATTCCTTTTAAAGTTCTGATGTTTGAAGATACATCTTTTTGTACAGCATGTGCCCAAACATAAGCATTTGGTGTACAACCAGAGAACGCACTGTGACTCTCCCGGCGCTGGAGGGAGAGCTGGCCGAGAGAACCTGCTTGGTCTCCGATGTGACCGGATTGCTGACTTTGGCTCATGGGCCCACCCTGAGGGAAGGCCACTGCACCGCTGAAGGGGGCCTGGGTTTTCCCCAAGGTGGCTGCTCTGGCTTTGGGAGGGTCTATGCCGTGTGGGCCTTGGGAGTCCAGGCGTGTTCGCAGCTTCCGTGTTTTCTGTTGCCTGATGTACAGACACTGCTAGGTGCTGGGGATGTGTAGATGAGCAAGACAGCATGCTGGGAGCAAGGAGCTCTTAGCCGTGTGGACAATCACTGCATAATGCACAGAACACCACAGAGGTCGTTCAGAAGTGTGTGGTGCACAGGAGTTCACCTGAGGCTGGAAGGCTCTCCTGAGGTCGCGGTGGTCCAGGGTGAATGACATATTTGGGGCTGATGATTTTGAAGGTCCCCTCAGAGAGAGGCAGCCAGGACTCTGATGTTGGGTGAGAATCCTTGCCCCCCTGCTTCCCTGTTCCGTCGCTCTATGTCCTCAGGCCTAGTTACTTCATCACTGTGCCTCAGTTTCCTCATCTGTAAAATAGGGGTAACAATATCTACTTCACAGAATTGTTCTGAGAATTATGTGAGCTCAAGCCTGTAATTCCCAGGGTCTGCCCTGTACATGCTAGTTACCCCCTGCTTGAGGCACAGGACGGTCTGAAGCCAGACGGGCCAGTTAGGAGTGCAGAGGGAGAAGGCCTAGACGTATGGGGAAGCCCGGTTGCTGTCCTCCCTCGGGGCAGGAGTTGTACAGAGAGGATCAAGGCTGCTCTGTGCCCTCCCTGTTTTTCTCAGTTCCCCAGGCTTTCTAATTAAAGCTGTCAGTTTGTGGGTTTCAGAGACAACACTCTGAAAGGTCTGGCGAGGTGGGAAGGAAAGGATTGCCCCTGCCTGTTTAATTCCGTCAAGGTCAGATGCTTCTGGGAGGCCTCTCTGCGCCCCATTCAGCAGCTCGTGCAGCTGAGATTGGAGCCTCTCTGTGCTTTCTTGGCATCCTGAACCAGTCCTTCAGTGCTTTCTTACCTCAGCTCATGATCAGAGGTTTCCTTGTCTGTCCCCGTTAGGCCCAGCATCCTGCAGGCAGGGACAGGGTCTCGTTTCTCCTGGAATTCCCACTGTAGCTCATTTCTTGGCACAGAGCTGGTGCGCAGTAAATGCTGTCAGGTGGACGATCAGCCTTGATTGGCTGAAGAGGAACCAGCAGCTGAGGCGCTGGGGAGAACGCCCGTGTGATGCGGGCTGGCATGCTATACAGAGGAGACCCGGCTGACTTCGTTGCATTCAGGCTGTAACGTGGGATGCAGATATGATGAACTGTGACCCGAACTATAAAAGTTTAGGGCGGGAGAGTTTCTCTGTTTTCTGTCTTTCTGGTAGAGCGGGGTTTCTCCGTTGGCATTGTTGACGTTTGGGGCTGTGAACGTCTTTGTTGTGAGGCCATCCTATGCACTTCGGGCTGTGTAGAAGCATTACTGGCCTCCAGCCGGAGATGCCACTAGTACCTACTTACCTCCAGCTGTGACAATAAAAGTGTCTCCAGACATGGCCAAACATCCGGGCAAAATTTCGCCCGGCCAAGAACCCTGCAGTATAGGGTGCTGGTTAGAAGCATGAACTTCAGAGTCAGACATATCTGGGCTCATACTAGTTCTTATTACTTAATAGATGTGTGTCTTTAGGCAGAGTTACTTGACCTTTCTAAGCCTCAGTTTCCTCCATTGTAAAATGGGGATAATGATGAATCTCACGTAACTTTATTGGGTGGAATTATTGATGAGGTGATGCATGTAAAATGCTTAGTTGAGTCCTTGACTCTGTAACTGGTAACTGGTGTTACTGTGTGTAGTTAGAAGAGGACGCTGGAGAGGGTCAGGAAAGAAAGGGTGCAGAGTTGAGGAGGAAAAACATATTTGACATAGGAATACATGCACGAGGTACAGAATCAGAAGGTATGAAACAATGTTCTGTGGAAGGTAAGTGACCTTCCCCACCTGCACCAGTGCCCCTCCCTGATAACTGGGTATCTTGGCAGAGCTCTTCTGTGCATCTATGTCTGTAGGTATACCTAGGGGAGACTGTTTTTCAAGAATCACAGGTTTGATTTGGTTGCGCACACCCCGAGACGTGCAGCCTGCTTAGATGCTGACAGCGTAGCCTCGTGGGCTGAACTTCAGAGTTTTAACAGTTTGCCATGAAAAAGACCAGGTGGCCCCCACCCTTCCATCCTGGAATGCCCTGCAGGGTGGTGCTGGAGCGGGTGGCATGGGGATGCTCAGATGTGGTGTCAGGGAGGGTGGCGTGTTGTTGGGTGATGGATGCCACAAAAGGGAGGGACTCCTACCTTAGAGAAATGAGAACCTCCAAATACATTTTGTGCAAAACCGTACTGTCGTGGAAACCACAGTCGTCTACTTTTTACTGTTCACAACCTTTAAATGATTGGCATAATAAAGGTCAAAGAGTAGACATTGAGTCCTGAGTGCCACAGATGTGCGCGCTGAGTGTCAGCCGAGGGGCCTGGCTCTCCGCAGCATCCTCCTGGGACTCAGGAGCTTGACAGTTCGAGGGCCAGCGAAGGTCCACTGCAGTAATGTAAGCACCACAGGTACAGACAGAAAGCCGGGACCTGGGCTCTTGGATTCCAACCCGCTTGTCGTGAATCGGACAGCGAGATCCTTGAGCTTTAAAGGAAGGGAGGAAAGGGTCTGGTCAGAACCAAGCCGTTCACTCATGTCTAAACGGCAGCGTGCAGGGGCTCAGAGGCGGCAGTTCCAGCTGAGGGCAGGAACCAGGCCAGAAAGCAGCCTTGGCGGGTGCACGGTGACGTCAGACGTACTCACCGACGCCGGGAGCACAGCTAACCCTGCTGGGCGCTCCTTAGGGAAGTCATTCAGAGAGTGAGTCCTACGAGTTCCCATCCCAAGGGGAAATCTGTTTCCATTTTTCCTTTTCTTCTTTTTTATTGTACCTATGTGAGAAGGTGGGTATTAGGTGAACCTGTGGTGGTAATTGCTTCATAACATATGCAAACCAGACGGTCACACTGTACTCCTTACATGGTGCTGTACATCCGTGGTTTCTCAAGAAAACCAGCAACAAGCAAGCAGAAGCCCCACCCCCCAGACAAAACCAGAAAGGGCGCTCAGCGCCTGGTCTTCAAAGGCCTGGTGGTAGGGCCTGTCCTCTCTGCCCCGTACGCTTCCCCCGGAGCTGTTAGGCTAAGCAGCCCCCCTCCAGCCCCGCCGGGAGGGCTGTGCAGCCCAGTGGGCAGGTGTGTCTCTGGAGCCCGAGGGTGGCCCAGTGAAGCCCTCCTCAGCTGGCGCGACTCGACTCGGGGCTGGGGGCCCCTGTCAGGGACTCCCCTGTTAAACGCTGTTTAAAGTCTGAAATAACATCGTTTAATTTTGTAAATCATCTTTGTTGAATATTGAGTAGGTGCCAAAGAATACGTACAGTATAAAGAAGAAGGATGCAAGGAACAGCCAGGCAGCCATCATTCAGTTTACAGAAGAGTGTTACCATTACCCTCGGCGAGCCCTCCAGGACCCTGTCCCACCCCCACCCCCAGGGCATCCCTGAGTTTTGCTTTTATCATCATCTTGCCTTTCTTTATGGTTCCACCGCATGTGTTTGCGTCGCTAAACAATGTGTCATTGAATTTTGCCTGTTTTTGAACATAATATAATTATGTTGTCTCCTTCAGTGACTTAAATTCTTTGCTTTGCATGTGTTCTTGCAGTGAATCCATATTGCGTATGCTTGTCCTTCATGTTCCGCTGAGGAATAATGTTCCATTGCATGAGCACTTATCTTTTCTGTTGCTGACGGACATTTGGGTCGTTTGAGTATTTTGCCGAGACAGTAGGTGCTGCCGTGAACATTGCCTGGGCCACACACCCCCGCCTCCTCAGGGCGCATCCCGAGGAGGGGACTGAGTCACAGGTGTGTGTGCCTCTTCAGTCTGACCAAATCACGCCGAGTGGTTTCCAAAGTGGATTCCCCAGTTTACACTTCACCTGGCAGTTCTGTTTGTTTCACATCCTCCCAACCATGGGATTTCCAGACTTGACAATTTTTACTAATGTGGTGGGCACTCAGTGAGATCTCATGTGGTTTGGTTTACATTTTCCTGAGCATCTTTTCATATACTTCCTGGTCATTCAGGTTTCAGCTTCTGTCATACAACTCCTTAAATCTTTTGCTCATTTTTCTATTGAGTTGTTTGTCTTTTTATGACATATAAACTTTTTTTTTTTAATTGAGGTATCATTGATATATACTCTTATGCAGGTTTCACATGAAAAACACTGTGGCTACTACATTCACCCATATTATCAAGTCCCCCCCACACCCCACT